TAGTGTGTCTTAGTTAGGGTTTCTATTGCTCTGATGAAACACCATGACCCAAAGCAACTGGAGGAGGAAAGGGTTTATTTGGTTTACATATGGTGCGTCACAGTCCGCTGAGGGAAGCCAGGGCAGGAACTCACACTGTGTGAGAAACTGCAGGCAGGAGCTCATGCACAGGCATGGAGGAGGGGAGCTTAGTGGCCTCTCCTCATGTCTTGCTCAACCTGCTTCCTTATAGAACCCAAGACCACCAATTCAGAGGCGGTTCCACCTCCAATTTACTGGGCCCTCCCTCATCAATCACTAATTAAGAAAATGCCCTATAGGCTTGTCTACAGCCTTGAGCTTATGGAGGCATTTGAATAATTGAGGTTCCCTCCTCTCAGATGACTCTAGCATGTGTCCAGTTGACATAAAAACTAGCCAGCATATAATGTAATGAGGCGAGCGAACAAACTTCTCTCTCAGCCTATGGACTGTCATGTGAATGCCTCAGGACAACCCTCTGGACACCTGGACTCCTGCACTGGATGTTTCACTTCTCTCCTCAGCTGTCACTTCAGGTCTGATACCTGGTTCCAACTTGGATTTTGACCCATTTTTGCCTCTGATCCCAGGAGTGCCTGGTACAAAGACAAGACACTCTCAGAAGTTCTCACCCTAGAGAGTATGTTTTCCACAGCTTACAAAGCCTCTTAGATGGGATCAAAGAGAGACCCACAGGAGACTAGGATGCATCCTTACTTCCAACAATCTAATTGAAAGAAGAGGGTGTTACTGCAAGTCTGTAAGCAGTAAGTGCCTAGGAGTCCTGTGGGGCAGTAAGTATAGTTTGCCATATAGGAGCCTTGTATTGTGACCCACATCATCCCCATACCCTACTTTCCTCACCTAAAATGCAAGGCAGACAGGGATAGAAAGAGCCTCGCTTTCCAAGGTGTGGTCCCTGGACCAGTTGTGGCAGGAACACCACCTGGTGCCTGTTAGAAATAAGGATTCCCAGATCCCATCCCAGACCAAGTGAATCCAAAATCTGTACCCTGACAGCATGAACAGAGGTGTGCTCCGCTGCAGTTTGAAAAGCACCGGGATGCGTGATCTTCAAATTCTCTCTTAGTTCTCTACTTTGACAATCTATGACATTTCCTGTGACGCTGTCAGGAGGCAGCTGCTTGGAGGTCCCTGAGAGGACTGGCCCTGAACAAGCCTGAGGGTGCCCCCCCCCCAGCAACTGGGCTCTCATGCCAGGCGTCCAGGCGTGGCAGGCAGCCACCGGCTCGGTGGGTCGGTGTGACCCTCCTGGAGAGTCATGCTGCTCGCCTGCCAGGGGAACAGCTTGAGTTGTCACGATGGGTCACAACCCTGAGGTGGAAGCTGGGGGTGGTGGCCACGCGTGGTGAGTTTTGTTGGTCAGTATGGGCTTCACTTGGAGACCCGGCTTCTCATCGTGCAACCAGGCTTGGCTGCTGGCTTCACCCGTCAGCTGGGCAGCCAGGGTAAGGGAAAAAAGATGGGAATTAACAAGGGATATTGATGGCACACCCTGAGGCTGGGGACAGAGGGAAGGCTTTCTGCTGCCATCTATTCCCTTGAAAGCAAATCTTTGGGAGTCAGAAGCCTGTGCTTTCCTGTACCAGGTCAACTGTCTGGCAGAAGAGCATCCAAGGAGCGCAGTGCAGTGGGGACCAGCAACACGGGCTCCAGGGTGACAGACAGGCCTCCCCTGTCTTTAGATCTCAAATGTCTACTCCCATAAGGTGAGACGAGATTCATTCATTCACATGATTGAGCCCCTAGGATGCCCGACAGAGGACTAGGTTCTGGGCACACTGGACATTTATGGACCTCTCACCATTTGGATACTTTCCCAAAAGCCTTCCCAGCTCAAATATTTTCTTATTTTGTGTGGTATGTATGAAGTGTGTGTGGGAGTGTATTCACATGTGTGTGGTTGTGTGTGTGTGTCTCTGTGTGTGCGTGCATACGTGCATGTGGAAGTCAGAGGTCAACCTTGGACGTCATTCCTCAGCAGACATCCACCTTCTGAGACAAAGTCTCTTGGTTGCACTTTGGACTGTTTCTACCTCCCCAGAGCTATGATTACAAGCATGTGTTACCATGCCCCCCCTTTTTTATATCTAGGTACTAAGAATCAAACTCAGGTCTTCATGCTTGCATAGTAAGTGTTTTTGTTGACTGGGATATCTCCCCAGCTCCTCAAATATTCATTTTAAAATTTTTAAGAGATCTATTTACTTTTATTTTATGTGTATGGGTGTTTTCCCTGTACTCATGTTTGTGTACCATGTGTGTGCAGTACCCACAGAAGCCAGAAGAGGGTGTCAGATCATCTGGAATTGGAGTTACAGACGGTTGTTAGCTGCTTTGCAGGTGCTGGGAATCAAACCCAGGTCCTCTGTACGAGTAGCCAGTGCTCTTAACTACTGAGTCGTCTATCCAGCCCCTCAAACATTCTATTTTAGTAACCAGGCTTACTTGCTTACTTTAGTGTAGGCTTTGAGCTCAAATTTGGGTTACACATGTGAATTCTGTAACCTACAGTTGAGTATAAGAAGCTCATGTATCGGTTTTCTCACCTGAACAATGAGGACAACTCCACTTCATAAGGTGCTTCAAAGATGGAGAGGGACCGTGAAGTGCCTGACCAGAGGTGCTCAGTGCTGCATGTGCTGGCCGTTTGCCTGGGCCCTGTGGGAGCCACAAACCAGACCCAGCCACTGAGCCCCAGGTTTCAGCCTGTCCAGCTGGAATGTGCTGAATGTGAGAAACACATGCTGGCCACTGAGGACCCAGCATGAACAAAAGGATGCAAGGTTTCTCCTTGGATCATGTGGATATCATAGTATTCTACGAAGTAAACTAATTAGGATTAAATTCTTTTTTATATCCATTCATCTATTATGCGTGTGTGTGTGTGTGTGTGTGTGTGTGTATATAAGCCCATGTGGTGGTGCATTTGTGCCAGAGTGTGTGCATATATGCCCGTGTGGGGGGCGCATTTGTGCCAGGGTTTGTGTATATAAGCCTATGGGGGGGTGCATTTGTGCCAGGGTTTGTGTATATAAGCCTATGGGGGGTGCATTTGTGCCAGGGTTTGTGTATATAAGCCTATGGGGGGTGCATTTGTGCCAGGGCGTGCATGTGGAGGTCAGAGGACACTACGGAGTTGCCGTTTTCCCTCTACTACATGGGTCCCAGACTTGGTGGCAAGGGCCTTTATCCACTGAGCCATTTCACCAGCCTGACGTGAATTTCATGGTTCTTTTTATGTTGTGAGTGTGCTACTAGTAAACTTAGAACTGCATATGTGTTTAAGTTATATTTCCATTGGATACCACTGACCTCAGAGAACTTAGAGTGGGCTTCCACTGGGCTCTGGTAGTGCGTGTGATGTGTTGAGAAGAAAATATCTACACTTGCACTCAGACCCAAGAGAACCCACCAGAAGTCAGGACTGAGGAGGAGAAAAAAAGAACACAACATGGTAACTACAGTTAATAATCATGGGTTGGACGTGTAAAATTGCTAAGAAGGGAGATTCTAAGTGTTCTGAGTACAAAGGAATAAGTAGGTGAGGTAGTGAGTATATAATTTAGCCATTCCATAATGTATGCATATTTCAAAATATCATCTTGTATATCATAAATGTATATAATTTTAGTCAATTAACAAAACAAGTGGAAAGGAAAGGGGAAATCAGGTGTGTAGGGGTTCCACGGGAAGCCTTAAAGAGGAGGCCAGGAGATCGTTGGTAGCTGTATTAGTCAGGGTTCTCTAGAGAAACAGAACTTATAGAAAAAAAAAAAAAAATATATATATATATATATATATATGTATGTATATATGATTTAGTAGAGTTGGTTACAGCTGTGGTTCAGCTAGGCAAACAATGGCTGTCTCCCAAGGGAAAGTTCAAGAATGTAATAGTTGTTCAGTCCACGAGGCTGGATGTCTCAGCTGGTCTTCAGTGTATGTTGGAATCCTGAAGAAGTAAACTCGAATGCCAGGGAAGGAATGATTTGTCAGCCAGAGTGAAGGCAAGCAGGCCAAAAGCAAAAGCTTCCTTCTCCCAATTCCTTTATATAGGCTGCTACCTCAGATGATCTGGATTTAAGGTGGATCTTCCCACCTCAAATGATCCAGTCAAGAAAAATTCCTCATGGGTATACCCAGCTGCTTGGGGTTTAGTTAATTCCAGGGATGGTCAAGTTGACAACCAAGGATAGCCATCACAATGGGCAAAGGACAGAATCCATGGGATGTTCAAGCTCCTTAAGGGATGGGTCTATGATTCTCCCATCATGCCTTGCATATGATTGGTACCTGAAAGCTACTTGTTCTTTGCAAGGAGCTGGGGGCCAGAGGGGAAACAGGAACAGTAAGTCAGAATGAACACAACACTTATTTGGGAAGTGGATAGATAGCCTCAAGTACTGGGGAGGGGAAGCTTGTGTACTCAGGAACCTAGGAGAAAGTTTGCCTAGACAGGACAGCAGCTCGGCATTGATAGGACACACCACAAAACTACCTCTGACCTTTTTTTTTTCCCCCTGGGCACCCAGGGCTCATGTTCCCATGTTTCCATATACACAGTACAGAAAGGCTGACCATTGACAATTGCGCCGGAACATTGTGGCGTGCACACCTTGACAGCCCTAAGCCCTTATTTGAACATATCAACTCATTTCTCGTCTGCTCAAATGGTTTCTCAGTCCCTACCCAGTACCCAGATTCATGTCAGCTGTGGAGGCTCCAGAGATAACTGAGACCTCATCCCTGTCATCACTTTGAGCAGGACAAACTATGGTCCACAGGTTAAATTCAGCCCACTGTCTGTTTTTGCAAATAGGATTCTATTAGAACACAGTGATGCCCAATCTTTGACATGTCGTCTGGTTGCTTCTGTATTGCAAGGGTTTATCGGTGTGAGAGAGTCTATATGGCCCGTGAATCTGAAACTATATTTACTATCTGTCACTTTTCAGGAAATGTTTGTTGACCTCCACCTTAGAGTAGTGGACGCATAGGCAAAGAATGGCTGCATAGGAGAGGACTGGACCCAGTAAGACGGGAAAGGATCATCACGAACAGGGAGCCCCATGCCGCAGCCTGGAGGAAGACAGCTGGCCCAGCAGACAGCGGGATGGGAAAACACAAGGAACGCTGTGACAACAAACAACTGCCTATGTGAACACAGAGTCTGGCTTTGGGGAGAGCTCGGCAACCCAGCCTCTGAGCCCAACCCCCTCATTCTCCCTCTGCTCAGGACGACGACTTTACACCCTCCCGCCTCTCTTCAGACCCAGGAAGCCTCTGTTCACACTTTCAGCTGGTGACCTTTTCTCCCCCTGGGGAAATCGAGGCCATCACCAGCGAACCTGCGCACACTCCCACCACCACCGCAGGCTGTCCCCTGCCTGCCGCCGCTCTGGGGCCAAACTGTCCTCTGTCCTTGCCTAGAACACCCCTATTGCCTGGGGATTTGACTCCACCCACCCCCTTTCCTACTCATCCCGCACAGTTCTCTCAACTGACTTTCCTCACTCCTGCATTGTCCGTTTCTTCCTCTCCGTGAGACTGATCTCGATGCTTCCCATGGGGTGCGCCCCTCCTCCCGTGCTCAGGGCAGCCGTTGGTGTTGCCTTGCAGCGCCACCTACCCTGCTCCGTCAGGGCACGTGGATTTGGAAAGGTGTGACTCTCGTGTGGCCTCCCTCCTCTTCTGTTCGCTCCCCCCTTTTACTCCTCCTCGGTCTTGTGCGCTGTTGCCTCAAAACCAGTCTTGTCGCCAGTGAGCTACTTATTAAATCTGCTGCCAACGACTGCCCCTTGATTTACCTGACCTCCTAGCAGCCGCTGGCCTGGTGAGTCCCATCCTCCTCGGGAGCCGCGGCCACACCTCCTTCCCTCCATTTTCATGCTTCATGAGCATGGAGGAATCCATTCCCTCCTGGAGTTTACCTTGCCTCCACAGGCTTCTCTTCCACTTCTCTCCAGCTTCTAAATGCTCCCTTTTCTCCATCATTCATTCACAGAGTCACTGAGACTCAAAATATATCAGTACTGTTCAACAGAACTTCCCAGGAAACTGGAAATAGTCAACATGGGTGCCGTTCAGTGTAGCTACCCCCCCCCCCACACACACACACACATCGCATGTGGCTGTCCGGTTCCAGAAATGCGGCAGGTCTAACTATGGAACTGCATTTTTATCTCATTCTGAACTTCAAGAGCCACGTGTGGCTGATAGCTACTCTACTGGTCAGTACAGCTCTGCCTGATGACTGGCACATCTTTGTCCTCAATCGCTGACCTTACCCCAGATTGCCTATTGGACATCTCCACTGGGATGTCTAATGTGCCCCCACTGCCATTCCCGTCTTATTAATGTCAACTACATCCTTCCAGTGACTCAGGCCCAGAGGCTCGGAGTTACCCCGATTCCTCCTTCCTTTCATCCCACATCCAGTCTGTCAGCAAATCTATCAGCGCTTTTTTCAGAGCACACCCCAGATCTTACCATTTGTCACCAATCCCCACATTCTGGCGCAAGCCCCATTGTCTATCAGAGGGAAGGTTGTCAGAGATTTCCTAGCCTGTCCTGAGTTCACCAACTTACGTTGAATGCATGCATCATGGTGCAAGAGAGTACAGGAAGGTAGGGAAGTTAGAGGGTACACGGCTCACAAAGAGCCCAAGGTCAGGGACACAGCATACGGGGTCTGGATATGGACAGAAAGACACTGTAGATCATCTGCAACCCAGCCCACCCCTCCATCCCAGGGACTCCTCACAGCACTGCTAACATGCCCTGAGCCTCTGTCTTCATGCAGTAAGAGAAAGGCTCCACTCTGACTGCACACAGAAAAATGCTCTTTTTGGTTCAAGTAGCCTGAGTAGTTCATGACTTCTCCATTCAGCGGAAGGCAGGCCCTGGAGCAGGGCAGTGCATTCCCAGGCCCTTACTTCTACCCCCAGTCCGAGTGTGCATCTGGTCAGAGCAGGGAAATGATGATGCACCAAGCTTCAGGGTGCTTTTCTTATGCTCTACCACCTACCAGAGTGGAATGGTGCCATGGCTAATTCTCATTATCGATTTGACTGGATTTAGAATTTAGATTAGGGCACACCTGAGAAGAGAAGCAAAGACCTGCCTGAATGTATGTGGGTCATCTCATGGACCAGGGTCCCAGGCTGAAACATAAAGGGAAAAAAGGGTGCCAGATATCTTAGGTACTGTTCAATTACTGTGAAAAGATATCATGACCAAGGCAACTTAGAAAAGGAAGCATTTGACTGGGGCCTTGATTACAGTTTCAGAGGGTTAGTACATGGCCATCTGTGGTGATATGGTGTTCCCGAAAATATTCTGCACCCTAATAAACTTATCTGGGGTCAGAAAACTGAACAGCCACTAGATACAGAGGCCAGAAAATGGTGGCACACACACCTTTAATCCTAGCATTCCAGAGGCAGAGATCCACCTGGATCTCTGTGAGTTCAAGGCCACATTGGAAACAGCCAGGCATGGTGACACACGCCTTTAATCCCAGAAAGTGAGCCTTTAATCCCAGGAAGTGATGGCAAGAAGCAGAAAGGTATTTAAGGCGTGAGGACAAGGAACTAGAGGCTGGTTAAGCCTTTAGGCTTTGGAGCAGCATAGTTCAACTGAGATCTATGAGGCTTCCAGACTGAGGAAACAGGATCAGCTGAGGAATTGGCAAGGTGAGGAAGCTGTGGCTTGTTCTGCCTCTCTGATCTTTCAGCGTTGACCCGACTAACTGACTCCAGGTTTGTTTTTGTTAATAAGACCCTTTAAGATTCGTGCTACAGCCATCATAGCAGGGAGTGTGGCAGCAGGCAGGCATGGTGCTGGGGCAGTAGCTAAGAACTTACATCCTGACAGCAGGCAACAGGTAGAAAGAGAGCGAGACTGAGCCTGGCATGGGCTTTTGAAACCTCAAAGCCCACTCTCAGTGACACCTCCTCCAACAAGGCCACACCTCCTAATTCCTTCCCAGATAGTTCCACTAACTGGGGATGAAGGGTTCAAACATATGAGCCTATAGGGGGCCCATAAACTTGTAGCCAGACCATAATGCAAGAAGCATTCAGTCCAACTTCAAAAAGCCCCACATTCTTTCAGTCTCAAAACCATAAAAGTCCAAAGTCTCTTCTGAGAATCAAGGCCATCTTTTCACTGTAACATACTTCCAACATACAATTGCACAAAATACACATTACCCTTCCAAAACCGAAGAATGGGAGGCATAGTGAAGAAATATCACACCAAAGCAAGGCTGAAACCCAGCAGGGCAAACTCCAGTTCTCTCCTCTGTGTCTAATGTCTAATGTAGCTTGTTAGATGGCTCTTCATATCTCCTGCTCCTTCTAGCTTTGCTTCTCTCTCTGGCTGGTTCCACACCCTCTCCGCAGCTCTCCTTAGCAGGGGTCCCACAGCTCTGGCATCTCCAACAAAATCCAGGCTTCACCTTCACAGCTTCATGCGATGGCCTTTCAGGGCCATTATGCAGGGACTCCCCTGTTGGGCACATGGTCTCAGTGGCTTTATTCCATAACCCCTTTCTTGTACTTTTCTTGATGAAGCTAGAAGCACATGATTGCCAAGTTCTGCTGCCTGCTAGGGCTGGAACCTGGCCCCCTCCTTGAATTACATTTGCATAATGTAATTATACTGTATATGTAAGTATCTGTATATATATATGCATATATATATGTAATACATTGACTTGTTGATGCTTTCTCAGGTAAGCTTTGCTTTTCACAGAACCTTAGTTGGGTGGGTCCTGCCCTGAGGGCACCACTCCCTTTATTAGATTTGGCTCAGGCCTTTAAACTTCTCATCTCTTTGAGCAGAGGACTTGCATCCAACACTACATTTCCTGGTTCTCTTTTTCACCTCAAATTGTGCATTTTATATTTCATTTGCCCTGCTTGCTCCTTTTCATTATAGATCTGCACAAGAGTGACCACTAATGATTATGTGACACAGTCGATGCTAGGCTGTCCTGAAATCTCCTCTGCCAACATTAATCCAAAACTCTTCAGTTTAGCCTCCAGCAGATTTTTAGGACAAGGGCAGAGAGCCGCTACACTGCCAAAATATCACAAGGATAGTATCTAATATCATGCCCCTCTGAAACCTCTTGAGCTGGGCCTCCACAGCCCACACTGCTCTCAGCATGGCTGTCTTCCATGCTCCTACTAGTGGGGCCCATTAAGCCCCACTGACAGCATTCAACTGCTTTCCTAATCCAAAGTCCCCAAATCTTCCACATTTCTCCAAACAACAGCATGGCCAGACCTGTTACAGCAATACCCCAGTTCCTGGTATCAACATCTGTCTTAGTTACTATTTAATGGCTGTGAAAAGATATCATGACCAACGCAACTTATAAAAGGAAGCATTTGATTGGGAGCTTACTTACAGTTTCACAGGATTAGTCCATGACCATCATGGTGGGAAACATGGTGACAGGCAAGCAGGCAGGCATGGCCCTGGAGCAGGAGCTGAGAACTTAAACCTTAGCAGCAGGCAGCAGGCAGAAAGAGAGAGACTGGGCCTGGTGTGGGCCTTTGAAACCTCCAAGCCCATCCCCAGTGATATACCTCCTCCAACAAGGTTACACCCCCTAATCCTTCCCAAACAGTTCCACTAACCAGGGATGAAGCATTCAAACATATGAGTCTAGGGCAGCCATTGTCATTCAAACCACCACACCAGCTGAGCACCTTATCATACGTCTCAACTCCCTGACTGGATGCAATATGACTAGCTGCCTCATATTCCTTTTGCCATAGCTGGAGCTGTACAATGATTGCCTGACCGTACCCTCAAACTGGAAGCTAAAATAAAATTTTCTTTCCTAAAATCACTTTCACCAGGCATTTTGTCCCAGCAGCCAGAAAAGTAACTAACGTAGAATACTGGTAGTGAGTAGTGAAATTGTTGATATGATAAACCTGACCAGATTGTTTTTAGGCAGAATGTGGAAGAAGACTTTGAAGACATTCTAGATAGGCCCTAGAATGCTGCCAGCCAGGGATTCTCAACCTGTGGGTTGTGACCCCTTTGGTAAACCTCTATCTCCAAAAAATATTTACATTATGGTTAGTAACAGTAGCAAAATTACACTTACGAAGTAGTGATGAAGGTAATTTTATGGTTGGGGGTCACCACAACATGAGGAACTGTGTTAAGGGGTCACGGCCTTGGGAAGGTTGAGAACCACTGCTCTAAGTAGAGCTTATGAGGCCTCCCTGGTGAGAGTCCAGAAGACCAAACTGCTAGGAGAATTGCAGCTAGTGGAAGCCCAGCTCCAGAGGCCTCAGTGGAGAGAACCTCTACTGGGAACGGGGTGAGGGGTAGGAGGTGGGGCAGGGGTTGGGAGGGTGGTGCTGTCCGGCGTTGGTGTTACATTCTGCTAATGGAGCTAGCTGGGCCCTGTTTCCGTTCTAAGGATTTGAGTGAGGCTGCCTTCAAAAGTGAGGAACTAAGTTCTTCGGTGGGAAAGGTCAAGCCAGCATAGCATTCAGGCTGTGGAATGGTTGGTGTTCTGTGTATTCAGATCTACAGTGCCAGAGGGCAGAAGGGGATGAAAAATGTACAGTTTGTCTAAGAGATGAACACCATCAAAGAGAACTCTTAAGCTCTTTACTGGGGTCCGAGGGCAAGACTCCCAATTTGTCAACATGCACCAACTTGTGAACATGCAAATTCATTTGAAAGGGAGAGTGCCTGCCGTGGGGATGCCACAGAAGACATTGCCTGATCAAAAGCAACTGCCTAAGGAAGTGTTTCCCACTGTTTGACAGCTGAGGCACAGAGGCCGTATAACAATGAGAAACATAAAATAACGTAAGTAAAGTGTGTGGGTGATGAAGAGGGCGCAAGGACATTCCTTCCACGTGGGTCCAGCCAAGGGTTCTGGCACCAGGTCTGGCCTTCTATGGTACTGACGGGACATTCTTCTTTCTGGGTGCTTTTATACTGTAAGAACCTTAGATGTCACCAAGGGACTAGCCCAACCAACTCACTTCATGGATAAAGAGACCAGGGCCCACAGTGGGATAAGCGACTTCTTATTGATACTCACTCCATGGGTTAATTTCAGAACCAGGACAGGAGCTGGGTCTACCTCCTACCTCTTCATGACAGGTTTCCTGAAGGACTGTGTTCTCTGGACACCTTTCTCTGCTCGTATCTTTTAGATCTGGTCCACCTTCCTGTTTTATCAAATTGCTGATTCCACAGCAGGAGGAGTCTGTGCAAACAGTCCCTGATGGGTACTGTAACCTCTGTGCCTGTAAATAGCATTCTGAGTCTGACCCTTATGCAGAGGATGGAAATTAGAGGACTACTTCAGTTGTCATGGCAACCCTGAAGCTCTTTTGTACTAGGTACTTCAGCAGCTTGACATTCCACAGTGATGGTTGCTAGGTCTCAGATCTGTTGCTGACCAACCATATATGATCCTGGGAAAGTCCTTAACTCATCCACCCACCCATCCATCTATCTGTCATGTAGTGACATCCAGAAGGAATTTGTGCCAGTTTATGACACAAAATAAGCCCATTAAAAGAAAAACAAAAGCACAAAGCCAAGCTAGAAATAGAGACTATAGGGAAAAAATCCAAGGTAGGCATTGACTATATATTATTTTGGTCATTAGAAAAACAAAACACTTTAAAACATGAGCTAATTCCGCTATTGTAATTGAAAGTTCAGTTCAGTTTGAGTCCTTGCTACCACTTGGCCTCAGTTTCTCCTTCTATGTTACGAAATGATGGCATTGAACCTAACGAGCCAAGACTCATTTCTATTCTGTGATGGAGGCTCAACAGATCATCCACTCTGCAGTCTCTGCCCATCTCCTCCCACAGAGGCAACAAAATGGCTCACTTGTGGCCACAAGCTATAGCCCCCAAGTTCTTTGCCTTGGAAGAAAGAGTGACAGTCTAGTGTTAGGGACAGCGACTCATCCAGTCCACTCACCGATGGCCGAGACCCACCTTAGGCAGGACAATCCGACAGTGCCCTTAAAGCCTTTCCAAGGACGGCTGCAGTGAAGTCAGGGGCAGTAGAGCATCATGGGAGCCCAGAGGGTAGAGCAAGCTTTTGAGAAGCCTTTGGAGAGAACTTTTTAACAGGACCTTGAATGGAGACTCTGAATTTTTTATTAGCTATTTTGGAGACTACAGCCTCACGATGTAGTTCTTGATGTCCTGGAACTATGTAGACCAAGCTAGCTTCGAACTTACCTAGATCTGCCTGCCCTCTGTCTCCAAAGTGCTGGGAACAGAGGCGTATGCCACCATGTCATGTCAGGATTTGAATTATGAGAGTGAGTAATCCGTACTCACAGTGACAATGGTTCAACAGTACAAAAAGTGACGGAGATGAGGTTTTCCCCTTGGTCTCCCACTCCCAGCTCTGACCTGCAAGGGCAACCACTTAGGCTACATGTTAATTTTAGGGTCCAGTCTTAGTTTGGTTCAGTACCACATGCCCCTCCAGGATGGAGGATGCGGTTGCTGACATCTGCATCCCTCTCTCTCCCTCTCCCAGGGAAGCAGGAAAGCCCAGTGTAATGAAGATCCGGGAGCCACAGAACCTGTACCAATTCCAATGCTTCTGTTTTCTAACTACATGACACTGGGCAGTGACTTCACCTCGCCATACCTGCTTGCTTACCTGGAAACTGGAAATAAGAACCTAACTCTTAGCATTGTTATAAACCCAGTAACCTGTCAAAGTCAGAACAGTGGCTAGGGCCCAGCACCGGCTCAGAGAAGGACGACTGTTCTACCGTTCATATCCTTTTCAGCATTCCAATTTCAATTAGCTGTATTAATACTTTTTCACACATCACTGTCTAAACCATTTAGACTTCCAAAATTAGAGTCTTATATATGTTGCAAAATTGCTAATACATTGGATCTGAACTGAAGACCAACAAATAGCATTTATATTATTATATGCCCTGCAGAATCAGGTCGTGCAAGTAAACCACGGCAGAAAGGAATATAGCACGATTTCATTAAAGCCAGGGAGGGCATCATCATCAGATGGAGAAATTCAACTGCATGTTTCCTTTGTCTTACACTGCATCATGTTGTTCAAAATTATACCACACTGTGTCCATGTGCAGACACACATGTATGTGCGGTGTATATGTACTTGTGTGTGCACAGGCATGCACACAGGAGCCAGAGGAGAATGTCAGGCATCCTGCTCTGTCATTCATCTTATTCCCTTGAGACAAGGTCTTTCCCTGAACTTGGAGATCTGTGTTTCTTTTCTTTGTTGTTTGGGCCCTCCAGCAAGTCCCAGCAATGCTCCTATTTCCACACACACCCCCTCCCAGTCCCAGGGTCACAAGTGCTGATGTCCACACCCAGCTTCTTATGAGGGTGCAGGAGATCTGAACTCGGGTCCTTGGACTTGCAAACAAGCGCTCTGACCCTCTGGTGGAGCCGCCTTTTCAGCCTCACACGCATGCTCCATTTTAACTTGCTTCGTATTTAGTCTTCAATTTCTTCCACAGGTTTCCCTTCTGTCCCTCAAAGGTTTCTTACTGATTTTTTTTCTTATGGAAAGTAGAAACAGATGTTTATAAAAAAGTATAGTATGATCATCAAAATATCTAGTTTTCCTGTTAAGTGGTCAATGTCAGACATGTTACTCTGTGGGTCTGTCTGCTGATCAACTGTCATCCTAACCTGGATCCATGTTTGGTTTTGTTTTTTTTTTTTTAATTCCTTTGTCTTTCTTTGTTGAAGTATATCCTCAAATAAAAATGTTTTTGGCAAATTAGATGGGAAGGAAAATTTCTGAGTCTTTGCACACTGAAATGACTACATTTTATACTGACCTCCTCCAGTTTTTCTCTTTCCACTCCAACACCTTCCTGCAATGAAAATAATTTCCCTGTGTTTGGTGGCTAATTACCAAACCTAGTGGGCATTTGAAATCCTACTCATATCTGTAGAAACTGACATTAGTGATCATCCCAGGGTTCTTACAACTCCCCATGTGGTTGGTTCTCGGTGCATCAAACATTCTTTATTCTTTTCCTTTGAAATCATTTCCGGGTGTTTAGTTCCTCTTCACAACCTTCAACACCGCTATCCTTGAACGTTCCACCTCTGCCCACTGATGGCATTCCCTACATGGGCTTTCTGAAATGCTAGCACAGTGGTTCCATATAACAACACAAAGCACCAACCGAATAACACAGCCTGTGTGTGTGTGTGTGTGGTGTGCATATACACATGCCTATGCATGTGTGTATGGAGGCAAGAGACACTGAGTCTTCCTCAATAGTTTGTCATCTTAAATTTTAAGTCAGAGTCTGTTACTGAACCTGAACCAATTGACAAGATTTGCCAGTGAGCAGCTGGGGACTTCCCTGTCCCCTCCTCCCAGTGTTAGGGGACAGGCATGCACTACCACAACTCAGCTTTTTCTGTGGGTGCAGGAGATCCAAACTCAGGTCCCCATGCTCGCCCAGCAAGTGATTTACCCACTGAGCTATCTAAGCCCCCAAATTCATGTTTCACTTCTGCTCAAAGGGTGTTTCTAATCCTATGATGGTGTTTTGGGTTCATGACATCACCATCCACCCAGTTCTCCCTACTGAAGAACTTCAACATCCTCAACCTTTTCTTCACTCACATCCCCAGCCAGTTGCTAAATCCTCTCAAAGCTGTATCAGACATGAGCCTGGAACTTCACCCTCTCTGTTCACGCTGTTCCTTTAATTCTGACTCTATTACTTCTCACTCGATGACTGAAACAGCATCCTAACTGGGCCCTGTGCCCCCAGCCGCCTCTGTCCATCTGTCCTTCCTTCCGATACCTATCTCCTCCCCTCTCCAAATCTGTTGACCATTTATTTTAATCAAGATCCCAGCTGGCTCCCAACTGCTCTTAGGAAAATGTTTCAACTCTTTAGTTTTGTTCGTAACACTTTGTGGTTTCTCTCCATTTACACGTCTAACCTCCAATGTCACCTCCACCTCACACATCCTACAACTAGAGCAAGATGATTTGGGGGACCTGCCCCACCTCAACATACGGTCCCCTCCATGTCTCTATGATTTTATATTTATTGTTTTGTTCCTAACTTCCTGTACGTGTGTACAGTCATATGTGTTTGTGTGTGTGCACACGTGTGAATGCGCGTGGAAGCCAGAGGTCAAGGCTATGCGTTTTCTTTAGTAGTTCTCCATTTGGTTTTGATGAGACAGGTTCTCTCACTTGGCCGAGGGCTCAGAGATTCCGTTTGACTGGCTGGCCTGTGAGTGCCAGAGATTAGCCCGTCTCTGCCTCCTCAGCACTGGCAGTATACACGTCCCCCCCCCCAACAACGCCCAATTTAAGGAGCGGATGTGGAGGTCAGAGGACAACATTTGAGTGTTCTTCCTTCACCGTGCTGGTTGCAGGACCAAACTTGGGTTGTCAGAGTTGGCAGCGGGTGCCTTTACCCGCTGAGTCCTCTCACACATCTACACACGTGGATCTGAACTCAGGTGCTTGTATTGGCATGGCCACCACTTTTCTGGTTGAGCCGTCTCCCCAGCCCAGAGGGTCCCTCCATACTTCCAGGATACCCCGATAATAACTTTCTATCATATTATATTATTGAAGCTATTTGTTTTCATTTTCTGTAACTGTGCTGTCAACTCCCAGGAAGCCGGGCCCACTCTCCACTTTTTAGCCTCAGCACCGAGCACAGGATACATCAGAGGATACATCTCAGTGAGTGCTAAGAGAAGGGAGGAAAGAAACTTAGGAAGGGATTGTGTTCAAGGGGCAAGAAGAGGTGCCCTGATGAGGCTAACAAGGACCTATCGGGTCACAAAGGCCACGGGTAAGGGCAGAGCATGTAGATGGTACAGCTGTGAGCGGGTCAACCATCTAGAGACCCGGAGGGCTTTGGGCACCTTTAGGACAAACATTCTCATAGCATGAGGAGGGGATGGAGGAGCCTGGAGGGTCTCAGGTAGTGGGGCTGGGTTGGTGCTCAGGACCCTCTGCTCCTCTGTAGCACTGGGGATTAGGGCCTCCATATTTGATGAACCACTTTGTGCTAATTTGGCCACGTGACAGACATTTGAGCATCTTTTCAAATTCCTTCAGGGGTTCTCTCTCTCTCCTGCCCTTTAAATGTCAAGGTTTCCAGGGCTCTGTTTTTAGCTCCTGTCTCTGTTCAGTCTACACACATTCCCATTCACCACGGCCTCCATGACATCTCCTTCCTGATGTCCGTCTGCCTGTATCTCTGACCCACCAGAACCATAGCTGCCCGAGAGATAATGCCCAAGAGATACATCAACCAGTTGTTCTGAAAACTCAGCTCATCTCCCATCACCAAAGGTCTCCTCCGGAAACAGTTTTCTCTGTCAATAGACCCACACCACCAGTTTTCTCTACCCTCTCTTCTCCAATCTACTTTCGAAGTCTACCACCTTAATGATCCAGAAACTCCACCCCTCTTTCCTGCCTCACTTTCACTGCTTAAATTCTGGGTGTGCACCTCTCCAAGTTTATTTTTAATTCTCTTTTCTACCCTTTCCACAGTGATTTCAAGGAAGTTGAAATCCGAAGAGTAATTTTTATACAGTTACACACACTTTAAATGCGCGGCTTGATGAGTAGGAACAAGGTTGCCAACTCCATTAAGATTTAAAACGTGGGCTGGGGAGGCGGCTCAGTGGGTAAAGCGCTTGAGCACGAGGCCCCGAGTTCAGATCCCCAGACATGGCAGCCGACAGTTGAATCCCAGTGTTCCAAAATAGGCAGCAGAGATGGGAGAATCCTGGAATCTTGGGGGTCAGCTAGCTTGGGGGGGCGCTGCAGCAAACAGCGCAGTCTCAGATGAAGAGAAAGCTAAAGACCAGCACCCAGGGTGGTTCTCCAACCTCCACATGCATGTCATGGCATGTGCATGCCTGTACTCATACACAGGAAATACACACACAAAGACCAAATTAATAACATATTAAAACATTTCCATTTCCCTAGCCGGGCAGTGGTGGCGCACGCCTTTAATCCCAGCACTCGGGAGGCAGAGGCAGGTGGATCTCTGTGAGTTCGAGGCCAGCCTGGGCTACCAAGTGAGCTCCAGGAAAGGCGCAAAGCTACACAGAGAAACCCTGTCTCGAAAAACCAAAAAAAAAAAAAAAAATTCCATTTCCTAGAACATTCCTTTCTGACCCTTTGCTCCACATTGCCAGAGGCAACTGCCATTCTGATTTCTAGCACCATAGATGGGTTTTGCTGCTTTTGAATTAGGTAGGATTTTTAGGGATTATATAGGAGAGATTTTTGTGTGTATGGCTTTTTTTGTTGTTGTTGTTTTTGTTTTTTTGAGACAGGGTTTCTCTGTGTGGCTTTGCACCTTTCCTGGAACTCGCTTGGTAGCCCAGGCTAACCTCGAACTCACAGAGATCCGCCTGCCTCTGCCTCCCAAGTGCTGGGATTAAAGGCATGCGCCACCACCGCCCGGCTGTGTGTATGTATGGCTTCTTTAGCTTAACATAACATCCATGAATTTCAGTGCTAGTCTACGCTTCTACTGCAGGCATGCATAACTGTATAGATGGGTAACAGCTTCTTTCCCTTTTACCTGCATATGAAAAACTCACCTATTTTCAGCTTTAGTTTTTCCAAAAATGCATTATGAACATTTTTGCATAAGTCTTTTTTGGATATATAGTTTCAACAGTTTAGAGTAAATATCTAAGTAGGATTGTCGGGTTTTTGGATGCGCTTATGGTTTGCTTTGTACGAAGCTGCCAAGCAGCTTTCTAAAATAGTTACACCATTCTCTAACACACCAGCCAAAAAAGGGAGTCCGAGATGCCTAACGCAGCCTTTAAAATGGGAATCAAATCACACCATGGCTCTGCTCTAAAGCCCTCTCCCTGGCTCCTTCCAGACGTTTCAGTTCCACAGGAAATAGACCAGGTCCACCACGGTATGGTGAACAATGTGCCGGGTCTCACTGCTGCTATTTCTTTCCAAGCTTCCTTTTCTCCAGACTCACAGATGAAAT